AGAGTTATAATAATAAAATAATAAATTCTACTTTCACAGAAAACATTATAGAAAATAGAATGACATTTTCTGTAGGACGTCCAGATTTACAGCGTCGCGTACAGATCAACGATATCTCGGGCGACCTCTATCGTGTTCTGTGAACGAGTTCGTTCCCTTTCGATAAAAACGAAGATTGCGCACATGCGACGATCACGATCATCTCTTCCACCCAACAATTTTCTGCGCATGTCCTATGATTCATAAGATACATCGTACCCGATAGAACGATAGAATCGTGAACGCCGTTGCAGAAACAAACGCGGACATGTTAAGAATAGGATCGTTATGTCGCGTCACGAGAGGGAACGAAGTTTCCACTGGTCCCGTCATGTGCACAGGGAACGAACGATAAAATTTCGATGTGCTCGAAGAATGGCGGTCGTCGAAAGTCCCAACATCCCGAGGGGCGTTCTCCGGCGAGCCTCGAGCGAAGCTATCGTATACGTGCTCGCCGCCCTGTAAACAAAATGCGGCGCACAGTCGATAGGGCGTCTCGGGTCGTCGCCAAATGTCCGTCGAAACGTGCCGGCGCGAATCGTTAATGCGGATAGAAGGAGGTTTCGGCACGAGTTCGTCGTAGGTGTACACCTTGCCGGTCCCGCAGTAGTCGCAGCACTCTAAGGGAGAGCCGGTGGAGTCGTGTCTCCGGTTGGAAAAAGAGAGAAAGAGCCAGTTATTCTGGTCTGAGGTCTTCCGATGTGCTTTCCTACGGCTGGAATTCTCCACCAGATGGAGCCACGCGCTAGCCGCGTCGGAGTGGGAGCAAGGTGATGAAGAGGACGTAGAAGAGAAGGGGCCAATCTCAAATTACTTGGTGAGCTCCGGGCTAGGCCGACCGAGCATCTTTGCCCACCACCGTCCGGCGACCTTTTATAGACACTCGACGGGAGTGGGGCGGGGTGGGTGGTCGTAGAAATTTTGTGAAAACTGGATGTTTTAGGAAAATCCGTTCGCCGCCGCGTCCTCTATCTTTTCTTTCTATCTCTGGAGAGTATTTATAGAGGCGCGGAGGGGACGTCGTTCCGAGCGGCGCGGCGAGGGGCCACCGGTTCGGGCAATTTTATACTTGCTGATCGCCGCGTCTCGCTGTTTTGGATGAAGAAAAATGTATTACAGGATATAAATACGGCCGGAATTCATGGCGGCGCGGCGGGAGTGGGGCGGCATGCTAGTAGAATGAGGCTCCCGCTTTCAGACTGGCCGGCTAGTAGTAAGGGTAAACGATAGCGTAATCGGAACTGTTCCGGAAACCGGGCACAATGAAAATACAATCTTCTCGAGGCGCGATCGATCTCTTCGATCGCGTTATAATGTTGACACTAAACCTACCTAGTAATACTAACTGGCATGTACTGCTTCACAAAAGTGAGAAGACCGAATTTATTTGGAATTTGTCAAGTTTTTATTGTAAAACTTGCTCCAATGATATAACTTATTCAAGCGTTTTCCACGATAGAGTCTCGGAACTTTGCAGAATTAAAAAATAAGAAAGCGGTCACTTTGACCGCGGTAGGTTTAGTGTTAATAACTTTAATTTATATCGAAAAGATCCTAGAGAAATTCTTACGTCCTTTTACTTCTGCCGGGTGGACGATTTTGTTAACTTTGTAGCAACTGCGTGCATCGCTTACCAATTTTCCCTAAATAAGGATTTTGTATGTATTAGAATAAAGCGCAATTCACACACAATGATCAGGTATTAGATATCGGACTACAGCCCATTAGATCAACAAAATATATATTGTGTTTGGTTCTCAGAAACAGTTCTGTATGTTTGAAAACGATGACTAACGTTATCTTATTAATTTTTCTCGTGTATTAAAAATATATTTTACAAATATATTTTATCTCGACAATCATATACCTTGTTGATTTATTGTCAATTTTTGACACACAAATTGATGATGCATCACACATCCCATTAAACCAACAAGCTATATATCGTATTCGGTTTAGAAACCGTTCTGTATGTTTGAAAACGATGACTAACATTATCTTATTAATTTTTCTCCTGTATTAAAAATGTATTTTACAAATATACTTTATCTCGACGTTCATACCTTGTTGATTTATTGTCAATTTCTGACACAAATTGATGATGCATTGCACATCCCATTACAGTCCTCCATTTTCGGAAATGATGACTAATAATGATGCATTAGAGTCTAAATAAGCAGAAATATATTTCATCGCGGCGTTCGTATGCCGTGCTGATTTATTTTTAATTTTCGATGTGCCATTATATATACCCACCCAAGTGTCAAATAGAAATCAATTCACAGGTGGTGTCATTCTGTATTAGTTAATACCGATGACGCGGCTGTCAATCAGCCGACGGATTGGAAACATTTCAAGTTTCTTCCGATAAACGTAGGTTCAGTGACACGGTAAATAATTTTAGATGCAATAAGGAGGCATTGACTAGCAGGAATAGACGCTAGAGCCGCGATATCAGCACCGATGGGAACACGCCCGGCATTCTCGTCAGTTATCGTCGTCTCGTCAACAACGACGTCGCATGTAAATACCGAAGACACGTAGACGTTCCGCCGCAGCTGCGGGATCGGCAAGAATTTGCGACAGATTCCGGGAATTCGAATGGTAGCCCGAGATTTTTCTGGAGAAATTCCCCTCACCTGTTGAGTCATCAGTCAACCCCTTTCCGATGAACCGGACGAGAGTCTGCCGTTCTTCCTTATATAAATAAATGCATACTAGGTGTCCCTTAAATAGGGACACAGTTTTCTTTACAGTTCGAATCGCAGACGTCTGTGATTACGAGCAGTTTTCGCGATATTTTTCTACAAAGAAAATATCCTTTGCTCTCGCGAATTTTGAAGAATTCTTTCCAAAGACGATTTCAATGAAATTGAAACGGCCGTCGTCCGTTGGAAGCTGCGCGATTAGTGGCAGCGCGTGCTGATTTTATTTAGCGAAATGGATCGGTCTTCCACGGTATGGACGAGTAATTGTGCATTGCGCTGGACGGCTATAAATTATGTTCCCGACGCCGGTGATTCTACGCTCGGAAATAGGCGCAGATGATTCGGCGGTTCTAAAAACGCTTTTGGCTCCGATATGACACCGGCCCGGTGACGTCTCGCGATTGTTACACTTTTTAACGATCGCGTCCGCGCCGCCGGGTATCGGCATCCGAGTGAGTCAACGACTTCTCTGATCGATGCCCGATCTATGCGAAGTGATGACCCTGTAGCTTTTCAAGTACGTTATATCTAAATCGGTACGAGGAGCGACGCAGTTGCACGGCCGTGTCTTGGGCGAATAATTCTACGGCGAGAGGCGTGGGACGCCAGAGCTAATTCTAATTCTAATTGCCGAGAACTGCTCGGTCAATTTCGAGTCGGAATTGATTTTTGATCGTGACCCGTACACCTGTTGTGCCGTACTTACGCACCTTTCGTTGCGCAAAGTCCGGATCGCTCTTACGAAGGGCATCATATTTCGCGACAATGCCGTCTATTATAATTTGTGGTCTACGAAACTCCGACGGTATTGGATTTTCTTTTCGTATGTTCACATATCCGATGCTCCTTAACTTTTAGTTTTAAGAAATGCCATTCCTCTTACATGCGAAAGGACTTACGAAAATGCGACTTTTCTATAGAAAGGTGAAGAAAAAAGTCATAAACATTTTCTTCGTCACTCGCGCGAGCGTCACTCTTGCAGATCTAACATGAAAAGATTCCGATTATATTCTTTTTTTACCGTTTGGAGCGACGAACAAGCGTACCCGCCGTTTTGTAATATAAAAATGGTATCAATGATGCAACGAATTGCAGGCATCGTTGCGAATATTCTGTCACGGTTGCGAGAAATCGTTGAATTTATCTACTGAAAGTACAATCGACGAATGAACAAATTGAAATAAGATAAATTAAAATAACAAGATCCTCTTTACAAGCTCCAATTAATGCTACCGTCATTCTGACGGGTTCGGTTGATCCAGCAGCTTCGAGAGAAATGGATCAACGATTCGACGCTTATAGAATACGCAGTATCGCGGACGCTCGATCCGTTCGAGGGAGACCCGACGAAAGGGTTACCGCGATCGAGCCTGTAGATCGGATCGAGGAGGGTGGCAGGTGCGTCTAGGAAACGTGGGCGTCCTCGGAGCGACGGTGGTCGTCGGCTGGTGGTTCCCGTCGACGGTAGAGGAGGACGAGGAACAACGAGGATGACGAGTCGCCGTGGCCGCGTGTTCCTGGTGGGGGCCAGCGATCCATCGCGCAGGCGCGCGACCGTCATTTTGACGAAGCCATGGAGCCGCCGGCGCGCCATACGAACGACGACGGGTCGCGCACTACGAGTAGGGCGCTGGTCGGCTCCGAAACCCCGAAGAAGAGAAGGAAGAAGAAGAAGACAAGAAGAAGGTGGAGGAGGAAGTGGCAGCTGACTACGACGATTTAAATCAAGACGACTTAACTTAGCACCAGCCAGTGCATCGAGGTGTAAACGGAAGGTTTACCGAACAACCCGAGGAGTCACGAATCTCGGCCGAAGACGGGACGGAACGTAGATTCATCGAGGACGCAAGCGAACCAAGCGGACAGGATGTCTTCAGCGATCGCTAAAGCTTCCAAATACACGTACCGCTCCACCGGCGAAGGTACCGCCAACGTTAGCATCGAATACAGCGCTGACCTGACCGCTCTCTCTAGGCTGGAGGTAGGTTCCCCTGAAAACCGGATCGTTTCTCTCCCTGTTCGTTATCGTTGCATTGAACGCGGACTCACGATACTGCTCCGTTTCTCCCCAAAATACACGATTTCGATAATCATTCGCTTCGAATTCGATCGAATAACTTCGGGACGGTGTCCGGGTTTCCAGTAGATTAGAGCAACGGAGCACTACCGTGGCCGATTTTTACGGTATTCATAAGATTCATAGGATCCCAGGGAACTCGATTTCTCAGACCGCCGTGATCGGAAAGGGAACAGGAGTTCGCCGATGAGAAAGAACCGCTTTATCAACCGATAAGCGAATGCTGGAGTATCGGATGAAGAACTATGATAACTCGAACGAGATACTAGATCGGCGAGAAGAGTGCAAGATGTCGCAAATAGAAAGCAAAGTAAAAAATGACGTTCGATAACGAGAGTATTAAAAGAATATCCTGGTGTCTCGAAATGGAAGACAAAGGCCGAGGTCTCGAAAGAAGGGGCACCCGATCGAGAGGACGCGGCTCTCGAGGAAGAGCGAAAAGACAGAGAACGTCGTACGATAGAAAAAGGACCGAGCTCCGTTCGGTTGTTCCGGAGCAGCTTTCGAAGACGAGGGGGATAGATCGGTAGTGATTGCCGCTGGTGAACCCGGGTAACGTAGATCAGTGACCGATTTCGCGGTGGGGACAGTGTAACGGGAGAAAGTTCAGTGACCATAAGGGATATTAGTGCCAACCCTGACGAGAGGAAAGTGCCGTAGACGGTTCCGTGGCTATCGGATTGCTCGTGTACGAAAATAGTCGTGAATATCGGTCTCAAACGACGATCGTGCCGGGGGACACCGGAGTGACATCTTCGAGGCGCTCGCGAACCGCTCGCGAGAAGAACGGCGTGCCCGATGTCCGTCGATGCCCGCCGATATCCGTCGGTATCCACCGATCCCCGGAACCCATCTGCGACCCCGAGGAACGTGGAAACGTGCATTCGCCTCTCCTCTCAGTCCAAGTAAGATTGTCCTTTCTCACCGGCCCGCCGAGGCCGCGGGTGAACGAGTGCACGTTCCCTCGATCCCGTTGAAAACGACCCGAATGGACACGGTCGCCGAGAGCGAAAACACACTCCTGTTCCCTCGAGAACGAGCCCGTTCAGAGGCCGTCCGTCTTTCTGAAATACCGGGCGTCCGCTGTTGGATATTTTCGTCGGCCGATTACGTAAAGCACCGGCTCGCCGTAACGAGCCCCGTGGCACGCTCTAATCCTTTCATGCCTCTCGTTTCAGGACAAAATCCGCCTGCTGCAGGATGACCTGGAGTCCGAGAGGGAACTACGTCAGAGGGTGAGTTCCGCGAATGCTACTTTTCTTTCTTCCCCGTCCCTCGCCCCGTTTCTCGCATCCCGCCCGCTGCAAGCTCCCGTTCGAACGATTTTATTCAGCTGCCGCCGTGTCAGCGATCTTCTCCAATTCGTCCAGAATTTCCGGAGATGTTCGTCGAACGGAAGCTTCGCCGAAGTATTCCGAGGATAGCGCGAGTCGCTCGCGCGAGGAGGGTCGGAATCGGGACGCGGCTTAGGAACGGAGATAAAAATATCGGGGCCGCGCGGCGATAAACGTCAACTCGGAGGACTTTATGTAATGTCGGTATTGTGGATTTTCAAGCTGATACGAAAAAGAAAGCGAGAGCGGCCTGCTCCACCATAGAGTGGGGAGCAGTAGGTCGAAATGTCCAGCTCACGACTCGCGTCTATTTTTGGGGATGCGCACCTCTTCAGCGAACGAACCCGCATTCCTTTTTCGTGTTCGTGGCCCGTGCGACGCGCACCGTTCGAAGAATAATAGTTTTTCGCGATGAATCGTTCTCCGCGCGGAAGACTGCTCTCCGCGTCGATGCTTCGATTTTCGTGCTCGTTCGGACCGATTATAGGCTGGCACAATTCTGCCGCGGTTTATCGGTTCGCCGAGCCAGGACCGGCACGGATTAATTCCAGGAAAGTTTCGTGTAAATAGCGGGTTATGTTACGAGGAGCTTCTCCAGTTTCATTGTTCGTTAAAGTCTCGCTGAAATCACATTCATACGTAACGGTTCGCCGAGATACGTGACTTGAACGGATGCCAGCGACGTTCTTCTCTCGGTCGCAAAAACCTGGAAGTTATGATCGCGTTTAATACGCTTTACGAGATAAATCACCTTCCCCGTCGTTTTTACACAAAGCGAACGCGGTGGGTATCCAAATCCGTATTACGTAATTTCGCGAATTCCTCTTTCTAGAGCGAACAAACAACCGAATCGCCGAATCCCACCGTTTATAATTCCCAACGGTTGTTTAAAGGCTTTCTAATTTTTCACCGTGCGTCCAGCGATCCGCGTACTCGCACCAACTGCCCCATTTTCCTCTTAGAGCGTGTATCGCGGAGGTGTGAACTCTATTATGTCATGCTCTAAACTTTACGCCCGCATTTATTATTTTCAAGTGCACTCGAGTAGTTATCCCGAGGCACATTTCGATTTTATTGCCTGTCATTTCCAGTTCGTGAAATGTCTGACCGCGCGCTTACTCAGTCCACTTCCACTGTTTCCTTCCGTTGCACGGCAATTTCCAAATCGTTACAAATGAATAACGAGCTCTCTCGATCGTTTCCAAATTTTTCGAAACCGATCCTTCGTTTATGCAACGAACGGAAATGTAACTTCGGCGTTTAAGATCGCAAAACTTGGCCGACGGTTGCGATCGATATTCGATCGAGTCGAGAAGCTCGAGCGATATTTACGCCATATGCTCGTGATTTTTAACGACGAGGACGATTATAGAGGACCCGAATGTTCGAGCCCAGTCGGTAAATAGAAGGCAGTATGGAGAACACGGTGGTTTCCGGAGAAGAGACAGCTATGGCGATGTCGCGGGATTCTCTTTTCCCAATAAACGCCTCGTTTGTAATATGAATAAAGCTCCCGATATAGAGCCGGTTCGTCCGGAATTAGATCGTTCTATTCGCGGTCCGAAGAAACCTGACGTCAAGCTTGCACCGAGCCGTTCGCGTCGTTCCTCGAGCCCTCTTTCCAAAACAATGCGACGCATCTCGATTACACTCGACACGCATCAACATGTTCCGACTGTGCTATACTCTTGCACTACAATGACTCTGTTCGATAACTTCACTTAACGGCAGACAGACTAGCCTGTGACTGGCGAAGTGCACGTTCGGTTATCTAACTCGTGAGATCGACGACTGACGTACGCGAAACTCCTTCAACTTCGGACAACGCGGACTAAACGTTGCTCGGAGATAAAGCATGCGAATTATATCGAAATAATGACAAAAATTTACTTGTGCGGAATACGATGGAAGTTCGTGACACGATGTTAGTTCGTTGATACGTTACCATGAATTACAACATTAACATAGCCCACAACGAAACGTTTGGCAGCTTTCCTCCGCGATTAACCGCCTGATCGATGATTAAAATTTTTTTTGGAAATTATCTAGACTGCGGATCTTCGTGCAAATTTCTCTCGAGTATGATAAAAATTTGCTTCCTCTTTCTTCATTCTTTTCCGAAACATTTTCTCAGCCCGCGTTTATCACAAATGCATAAGATCCGCAGTTTAGCGTTACCGCGGCACAGCATTAATTATATTAATTATTTCTTGATGCGTCACGTGCTTTTGCAGATCGAACGCGAGCGCGCCGACTTGAGCGTGCAGGTGATCCAGCTGTCCGAACGTCTCGAAGAGGCTGAGGGTGGTGCTGAATCTCAGGTATCCCCGAAGCATTTATTCGATTGAATTACGAACGCTCGAGTGATTCTGTTCATTGATCGTGGCTTCTTCTTTGGAACCGTATAGTTCGAGATCAACAAGAAAAGGGACACGGAACTGGCCAAGCTGCGCAAACTACTCGAAGATGTTCATCTCGAGAGCGAGGAGACCGCACACCTTCTGCGTAAGAAACACCAAGAGGTCGTGGTCGATTTCCAGGACCAGATCGATCAACTTTCGAAAGCACGCGCAAGGTTAGTATCGTAAAACCGATTCGAACGCGAGTCGAAAATTTTATTTTACCGAACACGTTTCTGTGCACGCGACGTTGCCAGGACAAAAGTAAGTACACATCGCTTCGGAAGCAATATATATCTACGAAAAATTGAATATTATTCCCTGGCACGGACTTGCCGTTTTTCCGAGATTTTTTTTTTAGATCGTTTCTTTGTATTGCCGCGTGAATTCTACATCGATGGACAAATTAAGCTGGGCGAAACGAGGGCTATAATTATTCCCGAGATCGTATTCTATCTCGATGCGCTTCTCTAATTATATCTTGAAACGGCATAATCGTTCCACCTTTTGAAATCTCTCTTCGGATCGGACGAAGATTAGACGGTGCCGTCGAAATTCCACTTTCTGAAGTTCCGCTATTTTTAACGGTCTATTTTCCGCACTGACCGTCGATGGAAACGCGGCGGTTCGCAGCGGTCGGCACCCGAATCTCCTCCGAGTGATATTAAATTTAAGTATCAAAGCAAAGCGCCGATAACATGCTGTCGGAAGTGAACCTAAACACGCTCCGTTTCCCATACGAAATCCTCGCCGGCGAACAAACGAATTCGGAACACTAATAAACCGAGGTTAATTATATACACCTGTGAAAATAAAATCGCTGCTGCGTCTCGCGCTCGCGGAACAACCCCCTCCCACTCTTTGAGGTCAAAGCGCGGGAACGTCAATAAACAGTCCGCCGGAAGTCCGAAGGTGTTTGAAGCTGCGTCGAAAACGCGAAACTCTGCTCCGCGAATCCCCTCGGGGGAGGGGGACAGGGAAAACAGGGGAAACGGAGGAAATCGGGACCGGAAAAACTTGAAGGGATGAACGAAGGGGGTGAATCACGGCGGGTTCGTGTCGTTAATTATAGTGGGCACCGCGGGGAACGAAAGCGTATTCGAAAATTGCGGGAATTATGCTCGACGATACTGGCCACCGGCCAAGCAACCAACTTACTCGCACCTGAAATACGCGTTCGACTCGTTCCCTCGGCTTTTCTAAACATAACCCGCGTCCTTTTCGACGTCCCGGCGCCCCGACGCGCGGCGTCGCGCTACAAGGACGCATACACCTCGAAAATTCACCGGCCTGTCATCGGGACGCAGTCTATTATCTAGTTGACTCTGTCAGCCTCGCCCTGTGAATCCTCCCCGCCCCGAAAATTGCATAATCCTGTTGCGTAAACACGAGACACGGATCAAACAAAGAAGCGGAATCTCGAAATTTCGCTGGGCTTCCTCCGCGATCGATTTCTGCGTTTTCCCTTCGTTTCACCGCAATTCGGAAAATGTAGAAAACAGAGTAGAAATTATTGTGTTAGAAAGTATCGCGTAGCAATCATTGATCTTCACCAATTACTTCTTATCATTGCGATTGTTTCGGTTTTCTTTCTCAGCAAAATATCGACAAAGCGATCTTATGCCCGCGTTCGTGCCGACACAGGAATGTTATTAAAATGCCAAGAACTCGCTGGACACATCGTTGTCTATTTAAATTGTGTCTTGCTAATTGCGCGAGAATTTCGAGCTTCCTATCAATCACAGTTTTTTCGCTCGCAGCGTAATGCTAATGGCGGATCAAGAATTCACGTTGAAATCGGATCCCGAGGGATTCCGTTCTAAGTGTACCTTTCAGTGGAGGCAATTACGACATTTATGCGTCAACGGCGTCGCTTCGAAGTAACAGTTAATTGCCTCTTAATATTTCAGCCGGCAAAATAGAACGGCGCGCGCGCCGTAACGGCGGACGGCAATAATAAATGGAAGGTGTATTGCAACCAACGGTTCCGGGGTGAGCGCGCAGAAAGTGAAAATCCTTCGGTGACCTTTTATCGGCCCCTTCGAGTCGCATTATTCCAAACGAACGAGCGGCGAAAAAGCGTGGAAACGTGGCGATTTCGCAGGAAAATGTTTCCACCTGTTGGTCCAGAAAAAGTGTCTTAAACGCTTTTCAAATAGACTTGCCCCCATCATTCGAGTCGCCTTCGCCACACTTCCTTCGTCGCATTCCTTCTTCTACCTTTTTCTTACTCGCGCCTGTTTTATTGTCCCTCCCCGCTTCTCCCCCTTTTCGCTCCTACTTCGCGATCGCGTACGATTCGCGCTCGCCGTCGGCAAGCCAACTGTTTCTCTGTTCTTTCGCGATCCCGTCACCTGAAAGTCCGTGCACGAAATTGCCTTAAACCTCGTCAGAAACGTCGAACTTCGTTAGAAAGTTCTTCGGTGACGCGCGAACGCCGCGTTCTTCTTTCGTTTCCTGTAACCTACTTATCTACTAATTCTTCCATCGTACAGAACCGATCGAAAAAGAACCCTCGAAAAATCAACGGGAAATCAACCCGTCGACTCAACGAAGTTGAAGAAAAGAAATAATTCCGAATTCTCAGGAATCGATCATTCGAGAAAGAGAAGAAAAATGGGAAGTGGTAATGCACGCGTCTCTGACCAGTCTCTCCTGGGTTCTCGACATTTCTTTTTCCTCGACCTCGTTTCCAAACTTTCAGCTTTCCCTTCACGATTCTCTTTTTATCGCGACGCCCCCTCCTCCTCCTCCCCCCGCGGCTCCCCCGCCCCCTCTATCCTTCCTTCTCTGTTTCTCTCTCGGCCTCCCGTTTTTATTCTCCCAGTCTCTCCCTCCGCGTGCCGTTTTCCTCGCTCGCTACTCGCTCGGCTTATGACTATTTTTAACCGTGCGAGTCGCGCGGCAATCCTCAACCCCGTGTTACCGCGCCATATTAGTACAGGCGACTAGCCCGGATCCCCACTATCCCCGGAATCGGCCGACACCTTACACCCTCTGTTACGTGTAGGTGGACGATACGGAGAGGACACGATTTTCTCTACCCCTTCCCTCCGACCACCGAGATGCCCGATAGATAACCACAGGATGTTCAACCTTGCGACACTATTCGATTTCGTGCGATTTTATTCTGTTTGGTCCGGCGAGATGTTTCCGCTGTTTCGTCCTATCAGGGTGCCGTGTCCTTAGGCGATGTGTCAAGGGTCTCGACTGTAGGGTATCTGTCGCCGATATTCATCGATAACACGTTCGATTTCGAGATAGCGTTCGTTCAACGACGTCGAATAAGGCGGGAGCTCGGACAGCGAATACTCTGCGCCCCGTTTTTTTTATAGAGGAAACGTATTTTCAAACGTGAAACGCGATTATCGTCGAACCTCCTTATCAATACTTGTAATATGAACATTCAACTTGCGAGAGAATACCGATTCACTTCTTACTTATCGAAGCGAATCGAAAATGTATGGATGAATCACGTGAGGGAACACTGTATGAAGCGATTTTTAAATACGAGTTTTCCGGTCGGATAAATCGAGTCCTCGAAGAGCCACGTAAATTTTTGTCGACGCTTAAAAATTGTACTTAAGCATTCAATTTAACCCCTTAACTTGTACACTCGAGTTAATTCGAGCGCGCTAAACAGATCAAACTGTGCACACTCGAGATAATTCGAGCGGCGTTGTATTTTATGCTGCTGTAATTTTTCACACTCGAATATAATCGAGAATTGAAAATAACAATGTGAAAGCAAAGAAAAAAAAATCGTTTTATCGATATTTATCATTTACATGGGATTGTAAGCTAGAACACTTATTTATTCAAGAATAAAATATAGCCCTTTTCCATGGAACAAAAGCGCATAATACGTAGCGCATACATGAAAAGAAAATTGATTCCTTTCGTCCGGTTTTTTTCAAAAAAACTGTGCGTTAAGGGGTTAATGCGCATAAATTTTTCATAAAAGCATAGGAATTTCTAGACGATGTTCGAACGAAGAACGTTCGAATTTTTTCAAGAATTTCTTAAAGAATTTGTACAACGCATTTCCACCTGTGCGACAGGTAGCCCCGTTGCCTCGTACGAAAATTTTGCTGCACAATAGAGTCTACAGTTACGCGAGTACTCATCTTTAAATATAGAGTCAGCTGGTCGGTTGATGAGAACAAAATAAATGTGCAAGTTTTTAGCGAAAAGCATTGAAACGTTGCCAGGGAAGTAGGACATAGTCGTGCAGCACGACTGTCGTAGATTGATGTCGAGACGAACGCGTTCTGGTGACGATGGTGGTACGGGGGGCGAAGGGAAAGGGGGGAATGTTCGCAATGGAGACTGACAGAGAATGCGAATTTTTAACGGAGCGATTCGAACTTTCCAGGGCTGACAAAGAAAAATCGAAATTCCAACAAGAAGTCTACGAACTCCTCGCTCAACTGGACAACGTTACCAAAGAAAAGTTGATGTCGATAAAGACGGTAGAGAAGCTCGAGATCCACGTAGCCGAGCTCAATGTGAAAATCGAGGAATTGAACCGCACCATCATTGACGTCACCAACCACAAGACTAGGATCTCCCAGGAAAACATTGAACTGACGAAGGAAGTGCAGGACTTGAAGGTACGTTACCTCTCTATTTAACGCTCTCTTTAAGTTACGTACGAATTGAGAAGCATTAATAATTTTACGATATTCGAGCTTAGTGCGTCTTGGACTTGAATTATCATTATATCATCTCTAATTAACTGATTCGTACGGTTAGAACCACTGCAATAATTACGTATGAATTGAGAAGCATTANATAAATCGAGTCCTCGAAGAGCCACGTAAATTTTTGTCGACGCTTAAAAATTGTACTTAAGCATTCAATTTAACCCCTTAACTTGTACACTCGAGTTAATTCGAGCGCGCTAAACAGATCAAACTGTGCACACTCGAGATAATTCGAGCGGCGTTGTATTTTATGCTGCTGTAATTTTTCACACTCGAATATAATCGAGAATTGAAAATAACAATGTGAAAGCAAAGAAAAAAAAATCGTTTTATCGATATTTATCATTTACATGGGATTGTAAGCTAGAACACTTATTTATTCAAGAATAAAATATAGCCCTTTTCCATGGAACAAAAGCGCATAATACGTAGCGCATACATGAAAAGAAAATTGATTCCTTTCGTCCGGTTTTTTTCAAAAAAACTGTGCGTTAAGGGGTTAATGCGCATAAATTTTTCATAAAAGCATAGGAATTTCTAGACGATGTTCGAACGAAGAACGTTCGAATTTTTTCAAGAATTTCTTAAAGAATTTGTACAACGCATTTCCACCTGTGCGACAGGTAGCCCCGTTGCCTCGTACGAAAATTTTGCTGCACAATAGAGTCTACAGTTACGCGAGTACTCATCTTTAAATATAGAGTCAGCTGGTCGGTTGATGAGAACAAAATAAATGTGCAAGTTTTTAGCGAAAAGCATTGAAACGTTGCCAGGGAAGTAGGACATAGTCGTGCAGCACGACTGTCGTAGATTGATGTCGAGACGAACGCGTTCTGGTGACGATGGTGGTACGGGGGGCGAAGGGAAAGGGGGGAATGTTCGCAATGGAGACTGACAGAGAATGCGAATTTTTAACGGAGCGATTCGAACTTTCCAGGGCTGACAAAGAAAAATCGAAATTCCAACAAGAAGTCTACGAACTCCTCGCTCAACTGGACAACGTTACCAAAGAAAAGTTGATGTCGATAAAGACGGTAGAGAAGCTCGAGATCCACGTAGCCGAGCTCAATGTGAAAATCGAGGAATTGAACCGCACCATCATTGACGTCACCAACCACAAGACTAGGATCTCCCAGGAAAACATTGAACTGACGAAGGAAGTGCAGGACTTGAAGGTACGTTACCTCTCTATTTAACGCTCTCTTTAAGTTACGTACGAATTGAGAAGCATTAATAATTTTACGATATTCGAGCTTAGTGCGTCTTGGACTTGAATTATCATTATATCATCTCTAATTAACTGATTCGTACGGTTAGAACCACTGCAATAATTACGTATGAATTGAGAAGCATTAATAATTTTACGATATTCGAGTTTAGTGCGTCTTGGACTTGAATTATCATTATATCATCTCTAATTAACTGATTCGTACGGTTAGAACCACTGCAATAATTACGTATGAATTGAGAAGCATTAATAATTTTACGATATTCGAGCTTAGTGCGTCTTGGACTTGAATTATCATTATATCATCTCTAATTAACTGATTCGTACGGTTAGAACCACTGCAATAATTACGTATGAATTGAGAAGCATTATTAATTTTACGATATTCGAACTTAGAGCGTCTTGGACTTGAATTATCATTATATCATCTCTAATTAACTGATTCGTACTGTTAGAACCACTGCAATAATTACGTTTGAATTGAGAAGCATTATTAATTTTACGATATTCGAACTTAGAGCGTCTTGGACTTGAATTATCATTATATCATCTCTATTTAACTGTGATTCATACGGTTAGAATCACTGCAATAGTCACGCATGAATTGAGAAGCATTAATAATTTTACGATATTCAAACTTAGCGCGTCTTGGACCTGAATCATCTTTATTAATCATAATCTATTCATGAACTTAGGTGAACATCGAGAACGTTATTTACCTGAGGACTCAGATCGCCGGACAGCTCGACGATGCTCGTCGTCGTCTTGAAGATGAAGAACGTCGTCGTTCATTGGTCGAGGCCTCTTTGCATCAGGTACGTTTCATTGCGATTCGTTTAAGAATCCTGAACTATTATCGAGACTCGATGCAACCATTTCTGAAAAGAGATTTGAACGATGTTGAAAATTTACAAATATAAATGTTACCGATAGGTTGAGACGGAGTTGGAATCCGTGCGCATCCAATTGGAAGAAGAATCCGAAGCTCGCTTGGACATTGAACGTCAACTGGTTAAGGCTAATGGAGAAGTACAAGTATGGAGATCGAAATACGAAACGGAAGCCAACGCTCGCGCCGAAGAGGTACTTACATTTTCAAATTGCATAAAATACGAGGAAACCATGATAAAACGATATTGAATCGCCTCGGTATTGGCGCGACAATGACATCGTTATTCGATTTCTCAGGTAGAAGAACTACGCCGCAAGTATAGTGCTCGCATCCAGGAACAAGAAGAACAGATCGAAACCCTGCTGGTTAAGATCAACAACCTTGAGAAACAGAAGTCACGCTTGCAATCCGAAGTGGAAGTTTTGATCATTGACTTGGAGAAGGTACGATCGATCGTTGATTGTGCGCGCTTCATTTTCGCGGCGCACCGGTGATCGATGCGATCTGTTTCGCACGACTATCGACTAAACGATCGACCGAACAATTGCAGGCCAATGGAACAGCTCGCGAGCTCCAGAAGCGCGTGGAACAATTGGAGAAGATCAACGTCGAGATGAAAGCACGTCTGGATGAAAGCATGGCCATGTATGAGCAGAGCCAGCGCGATCTCCGCAACAAGCAACAGGAGCTCCAGCGCACGAACTGCGAACTAGACAAGACTCGCGAGTTGAAGGACCAATTGGCACGAGAGAACAAGAAATTGGGAGGTAATTACGATGGAATCAGAATACTTCCGCACCGATTTCGACAAACGGTTTTAGAGCAAAGAAAACAGGACGAATGGGATACGACGAAATCTAATTAATTGTTCGATCGGTTCCCTTCAGATGACCTGGGCGATGCCAAGAACCAACTGGCTGACATGAACCGCAGACTTCACGAGCTGGAACTCGAACTTCGTCGTTTGGAGAACGAACGCGAAGAACTTGCAGCTGCCTACAAAGAAGCTGAAGCAGTAAGTACAATGAAATTAGCAAAGAATGAACCAGCATTCCCATCAGGTTATGAAGTTGAACGGCAAAGCTCTTGAACGATATGAAATGTCGATGTGTCTGACGAAATCCGTGGATTTCAGGGCCGCAAGATCGAAGAACAACGTGCACAGAGATTGTCCGCCGAATTGACTCAACTTCGTCACGATTACGAGCGCCGCCTCAGCGAGAAGGACGAAGAAATTGAAATCATCCGGTGAGTAAAGAAAGTTCGCGCAAACAGTAAATCTAAGGAAACTAAAGAAACAAAACTTAATCCATGGGGAGGGATTAATCGTTGCTAGGGAGAGTACGAATTTTTAGCTGCTCGCAATCCATGATGCAATCTATTTTATTTCCGGTACAACCACCGTGCGTTACGCCGGCCTATTAATAAAACCCGTTTAATTTTGTCATCGATCAGCTCGATCGATTAATCACCCTGGGTGTTTTCCGATCTATCAGACGTTCAAGGGAATATCCTGTCGCGGTCTAATTATTTATTTATATTCGCGAGATGCACAACTATGGCGCCGCGCCAAAATCGAGTCGACGTCGACGCGACGATCGAGCACGATGACTCTTGCTTGGCGCAGATTGGCTTCGGAACGGCCACGCTACGCAACACCGATCGGTCGATATATCGATTGTATCACTGTGAATGGGCTCCGAACAGAATGAATCAGAGGAAAGAATTAAGATCCTTATGAAACGTCCTCGGATTTCTATTGTTCTTCGTCGCTGATTCATAGACAATCGATATTCTAACATCAACGATCGCTTCGCGTTTTAAAATTAAGCCGAGGGTTTAATCGTTATGCGCAGTTGGTAATTTTATCTTCGATAGAATGGCTGTGATATTTTCATCGAAATGAAGCCGAAACAGTTAACGCTCCAACAACATTCGGAGAAAATCTTATACGAATATTACGATTGCACAGTTCTGGAAGTAGAATAAGCTCTTTATGGTCGGACACCTTGTAAACTGTGAACATTGTGAACGTATCGAGTTTATAAATACGTAAATTTCGATACAAGTATTAAGAAGCATTCGATAAATCAACGAATTCGCTGCGCGAGCGTAGGCAAAGTATCGTTGAACGATTGAAATAATGATGAAAAGCAAGATTAACCGCGGAGACATTAAAAAGCATAAAGAACGTAAAGAATACAAAGGAGAAACTTGCGAAAAACATCGTTGGAACTTTCGAAAGAAGAGACAAATAATACCCGCAAGCTTCGCATACTATCGTCGAATGTGTGACTGCATTGACACGTCTTGAGTCACGAATGAAATCGCGTGATGCCGATGCACAGTACGTAGCGTACGAAGCTTCTATTAATAAAATCGAACAACCGCGATCCAATTATTACCGAGAGGTGCTGATTGGTCGTCCTCAATTTGGCAATCGCAAAAAAAAGCTACAAAAGATACCACCGCTCGCGGTCGGCCCAATTTTTCGTGACCGTTCCATTGCAAGTGTCACCTCCGATCATCCGACTATGAGAAATTCGTAAGTAGCAAAGTGTCGGTCGGACCAGCGAACACCTGTTCCTCTACGCGGGACCATTGAAAACGATCGTTTCTATTCAAGGTAAAGGTTGGATAACGAAAATTAACAAACGCGCACAGACGAACGAAACAGAAATCATCCGAATCAACGTATCCGAAACGATTCAATCTGGATTAAGGTCGCAGAGAAACCTGCGATCCATGTTCTTCATCGAACGCAACGATACCAGCTGAACTCAGAAGAGAGGACAGTTCGAAATCTCGTAAAGTACCCTGCTCAGGAACGAAAGAAACGAAACGGTGTCGGTCGATCCTCGAATCGCAGTCTCTATCGTAAAGAATCATCGAAGTCGAGAAGAAGGAGCCGATCTCTTCCTTTCGCAGGAAGAGGATCCCTTCGGGTTCAGAACCGCAACGAAAATGACGCAACCTGCCATGTACGTTCCCGTGGAGTCGAAATGGAAGCACTGGCCCACCTACATCTACGACACGAACTACAAATACGGAATCAATTTCTACCAGCCGATGATCGATTACATCGACAGAAGAGGAAGAACGTCGACGACTTCTTATCGCGACTATCGTAGCCCGTCGAGGTCGGAAATGCCGGAGCTGCCGTGGTCCGATGGCAGGCTTCTATGGGGAGAAAGACCCGTGGAACCCTACTCGCGGCGCGAGCTGATCCAACACGCGGTCGACGCCGAAGACCAGGCCAGGGAGCACCTGCGGCAGTTCAAGGTACGCATAAACGAAACCACCGGACTGGTCGCGAGCGGGACGAAGCAAGCGCGGGAAACGCGAACGGCCCATTTTGTTAGGCGCCGCGCGGCTCGACGACTGCCTGACCTTTTCGCTTTCTAAATTTGGTGCTGCGGAAGTCGCTGCAACGCCGTGCACCTGGGTCGAACACGCGTGCCTTCGTGGCGCTTCACTTTAGCTAGCGAGTCAACACAGGGATGGCTGCGATCCGGGATGTCATGGCCACTGGGAGGCGACAGTGAGTTTTCGGTGCATGTTCGTTTTCCTGATAGGGAATTGCCCGTTCGAGTTAATTATTCGACATTTTGCAACTTTACCGGCGGATTTAAAATAGCAACGATCGGGAAAAAGAGATAAAATGAGACTGTGGCACGTCCTAGTAGACAAATTCGATGAAATATTTGTTCACGATTGGATAGAACCCACAGCAGAGAATATATGTGGCAAAAGCTCTAGAATATATTATCTCTAATATATTATTGTAATTGGCATGATAGCATCGATACTTCCAACCCAGTTTGCATACCAGTTGTTACCCCACTGTATTCCTCCTTGATTGATATTAACGATCGAATACTAAATCGTCGGTGTTAGAAACGAATTTATGACAAGGCAAAAGGAGGAAAATCACAGCCAAGGTATTTTCGATCAGCAAAATTTGCAAAATTTTACATCGATCATCGAGATTTGTGGCTTTGTTATGACAAGTAGATAAATCCTGCAATTACCCCGACGCTGCGCGCAGTCGTACTTAAAATAGAATCTACGATCCCTTGACGCGTTTCACCGGAAATTATTGTTGTACGATCTGTCGATATTCCCACGTTGGCTCTGAAAATGTCTAAAATAAACGATGACGCGCGCAGACGGTAAGAACACAACAGGTTTCGAAATATCAAAGGCATCGAGAACCGCAGCTTCTTCGACGAAACAATTCAATTTTGCGATTGTCTTCTATCGATATACGATCTTCTCTCAGATGGCCATGACTAGTCTCAAAAAATTCATCTTATCAGCGACAATCTTTCTCCTCGTACGTTTTAATTACAATTTTTATTTCGCACGAAGATCGATGGTCTACCAATGATTTTCTAAAAATGATCGTTCGCAAATTGCGCCGGCACTTGCGACGAGGCACGAGTAACATCGCGAGACAACGAGACGTCGCGAATGAAAAGGTAATTGCATCAGATTCTATAGACCGCGCGATTCCATCGGGAACGCTTTCGGTTCGCTAGCTCCCCGCTGTCGGCAGAGATTAATTTAAGACCGACTAGTTGCGGAGGCCCGGTTGCCAGCGCGGAAAGTTCGCGCACGAAATTGACCGACCGCGTAGAAAGCGGAAATTCCTTATCTCCGTTTGTTATTAATAACATCGGCCACCTGCCATACTGACAATCCGAGATCGCCGAACGGGGACAATAAAAATATCGCGGAAGCGGGACCAGCACCCCTGTTGGCAGCCAATTATTCGGACCATTCGTCGTAGAACCGATCGTGGCCGACGTTTGCCAAATCGCGACGGTAGCGAGTATGCAGATGAAAAATTCATCGCGCTCGACCGGGGATGCTGGTAGCTTGGTGGCTCGGATTGGCAGTCGGTTCGCCAGTCTCTAGAGAGAGAGTCGATCGAGTGCTTCGGCCACTTTCGAATTCTGGACCGCCGCGGCTAAGTTTAGTCTCAGCTCGGACGCAGCCGACCCGCTCCCGAGCCTCGCCGAAGCGTATTCGCAAAAGACAGCTTTCCCTCTCGCGCACCAGTCGATCCGCGTCCGAAGTAACCGCGTTCGATACCCTGTTTGACCCCGTGTTCCGTTCCGAAGGTAGCGAATCGGTCCGACTTCAGTTTGTCGAAGACAGCGCAGGCCAGCCACGTGACCAGGGAAGTGTTTCCGGGCCGGTTAGAGGCGACCAGGATAAGTCCGTGGAGTTTGTTCGTGCAGAGCGCGCGCGTTAGGAGCGAGGCTAGACAGCTGCAGCGTAAAATGGCGGAGATCGATCTTCAGTGCTTGAGAGACATGCAGGCGTTGACCGAGGCTCGCACCACCCTCGATCAGGCGAAAAGCCTGCGCGGCAAGTCCGCGAGAGCGATCGAGATCCAGCTCCGAGCGGAGGCTATAGCGAACCTGAACAGGAGCCAGCAGCTCGCGGATCTCAGGAAAGCTCAGCTGCTCGACGAAGCGATATTCGATGGCAGGGAGCGGCTGTGGCTGTCGCGAGAGCTCACGAGAAAGCTCGACATTGACGAGGATAGACTGACCGCACCGTTGGGCTGCCTGAGCAGGGAACTGAAAGGATACGAGAAGAAATCCGCCAACTATCTCCTGAACCAGAGGTACCGAGACCCAACGAGACCGAGACGGTTGTACGGATGCCTGGGATAGGGACCTTTCCATTGGACCGCGAATGCTCTTGTAGATAAGCCTTGTAGTTGCTGTGGGTAAGATCTATGTGACACGGAGCAACGAGGATGAACAATAAATGAGAGACTTTCGATATCGAACCCGACTGGCTTGATTCCCGGGGATACGTGGATCCAGTAGCTTGCGTTCGTTGAACGGTCAAGGCTGGCTGAAACGATCGCGTGTCTACCCGGGTTCCTGTTTCGACAAATTTTCTAAACGTATCTCGGCTGCTTGGAGCAGCTACGATTTCGTACTCTCGAAAATCTAGACGAGTATCGTAGTCGATCTAAGTGGCAAACATCGATAGGTTGATCCCTCTCTATGTCTCCTTTGTGCAATTGTAACATGTCGCGCGATAACTATAATCGGTAACGAAGACAATGTTCGTTGTACGCAGAATTATTCTTGCAACGAGTGGCATGACGAAGAAGTGAACGAGGAAAGGTTTCATCGTTGCGCGTCTTTTCGGTATAATTTAACCGTGCGACTTAATCCGACGCGAAATCTTTTCCTCCGACATCGTTTTCGTTTACCAGTTCTTGGGAGCTCAATTCTGCAAGGTGTTAACGCACTAAAACGATAAGCTACGTTCTACGAAGATAGCTTTTCTGTCGCCTTTACGAGCTTCAACGGACGAAGAACTCGATGAATGTTCGTTGCCACTCGGAAGTAGAGTATAGACGTTTCGGACAGAGTAACAGAACTTGTAACAGAATCAACAGCAAGTATGTAAATCCACTAACATCGACCCCAGTTCCCCTGGTCCCGAAATCCTGGCCGCACCCTGCCTGGAAAAGAATAAACATCCCGAGGTAAGGGAACCGAAGCAAAGAACTGATCGCGGTTTCGGTGTGTTCGCATGAAACGAAATAAATTAGCAAGCAGACCAGCATCGAGATCGAGCAGCTGAACGCCCGCGTGGTCGAGGCCGAGACGAAGCTGAAGACCGAAGTGCAGCGCGTGAAGAAGAAGTTGCAGATCCAGATCACGGAGTTGGAGCTGACGCTCGACGTTGCCAACAAGAACAACATCGACCTGCAGAAGACCATCAAGAAGCAATCGCTCACCTTGACCGTAAGCGGAACACCCGTTAATTCGGACAAGTGTTTTGGCAGCACGCGTCACTGTCGCGTATTATTTTCAGGAACTGCAAGCCCACTACGACGAGGTGCAACGCCAACTGCAAGTGACTCTGGACCAACTGGGCATTAGTCAACGACGCCTCCAATCGTTGACGGCCGAGCTCGAAGAAGTGCGCGGCAATTACGAATCTGTAAGTAAATAGGCCCATCATCGACGAAAATACGGTTTGCGAAACTACAGCAGCATTGCTCTAAGTGCAAGCGACATTCAGGTTCCCTAGAATCTCGACACGAAATGTACGAAGCGTCGATTCTGTCGCTGGATCCAAATGGTCCAACCTTCTGCACTTGATCGACGATTCTTGCGTCATTAAGTTTGTTTCTATTTAATAACCTGCTAAAAATTGAAGCGTGTCACGAGTAAGCGTGCGATTTTATCTGCAAAAAGAGAATAAAAATCGAGAAAAAGTGGAGATCTTCGAGGTCGGAAGAGACGTCAAAGAGATCTGCTGTTAACACTTCCACGACCGCGCTAGAAACCTAAAAGTTTGCATAATTCCGTTCGATTAAACAAAAATTATAAAGCAAACTTTATATGGCATCAATTACTTCTTCAGCATTCGTATCTCTTGCAAATCTTTTAATAAAATTAAGCAATCATTTTTAACTTTTCATTAACTATCAATTCGGTCGTCAATCGACTCAATTTAAAACGGGGAGATCTCCCCGTTCGGTTGGCTAAGTGTTAAAATATCTTCGAGTGCAAAAACGAAAACTAGTTGATAACGAAAACTAGCCTTCTTCTTAAACAATTAGAACGTCGACGGAACTGTGAATCGCAGAGTACAAATGGAGTCTTTTTATTCAAAGGTTAATCGAACAATGTGTTTTGCTAGGCCCTTCGTGCGAAGAGAACCGTCGAGCAGCAGTACGAGGAGTCGGTCAGCCGAATCAACGAATTGACCACCATCAACGTGAACCTCGCTTCATCGAAAGCGAAGATCGAGCAAGAATTGTCGACCTTGGCCGGCGATTACGAGGAAGTTACCAAGGAGTTGAGAGTGAGCGACGAGCGATACCAGCGAGTGCAAAACGAGCTCAAGCACACCGTGGAGATACTGCACGAGGAACAGGAGCGCATCGTGAAGATCGAGGCCATCAAGAAGTCTCTCGAGATCGAAGTGAAGAACTTGTCCGTGAGGCTGGAGGAAGTTGAAGCCAACGCTATCGTCGGAGGCAAACGTATCATCAGCAAACTGGAGGCTAGGGTAAGGCACCCGTTACGAAATTCGCGATTACAGTAATGTCTCTCTAATTGACGCTCGGATTGTCCACATAAATGGACAATTTGGGAACAGGAGATACGATTATCCGAGCCTTGCGGTTCGTTTTTACAGTCTCGAATTGTCAGCAACTGTAAGAACGAGCTGCAGAGCTCGAATAATCGTATCCCCTGTTCCCAAATTGTGCATTTCTGTACACAACCTGAGCGTCAGTAAGGGAGACATTACTGTACATCGTTGGTCAAACTGGCGCAATGCATCTTAATAGTTTCTTTCGTAAAACAAACAATGATGTGTTTTGTGCCTGTAGCTAACATTAACCGTTTGCGTACCACGAGCCACTTTTGCGCTCTTCAGATTTTGTGTCGAAAAAAGCCAGGCCATTTGGCCGAAACAGACGACTTACGGCTCACCCGAAATTTGTCGAAACGTGCTCAGTCTTTCAGACGCATGTATACGTCGCGCGTCGCATCGCTGTCAGTAATCCAATTTGCATTTTGTTGTTACCTATTCTAAATTAATAGTATATATATTTTCATTCATAACGTTTTATTTTATGTTTTACGGCTTTTTTCGACGCATAATCGAAGGAGCGCTATTGCGCTCTTCGGCGCTTTTCGATCCTGTTTTTTCAGAACCATCTGGTACGCAAACGGTTAAGAGGGAGATTACGTGCAAAGAATTATTGAGTTTATTTTAAACAATCAATAGATCTCTGGTTATTAATCCTTGAATTCGATAAGCCTGATACAGTAACGTCTCCCTAATTGTCCCTCAAATTGTGCAAAAAAAAATGAATAATTTGGGAAGAGGAGACACGATTATTCGAGCCTTGCAGCTCGTTTTTATAGTTGTTGACAATTCGTAACTATAAAAATGAACCGCAAGGATCGTATAACCGTGTCTCCTCTTCTTAAATCGTCCATTCTTGTATAGAATTTGAGCGTCAGTTAGAGAGACATTACTGCACTCGTTCCGCTTTTCGCTGGAACAGCTTCGGACCTGGTCGCGGGTTTACCGATAATTCGAATCGAGCGATCGCAACGAACCGGTTCTAATGTTTGCAGATTCGCGATCTGGAACTTGAGTTGGACGAAGAGAAGCGCCGACACTCCGAAACGGTGAAGATCCTTCGCAAGAAGGAGCGCAACATCAAGGAGGTGATGATCCAGGTGGAGGAAGACGCGAAGAACATCGCGCTGCTGCAGGAATCCCTTGACAAGACTAGCCAGAAAGTGAGCATCTACAAGAGACAACTGCAGGAACAGGAGGGCATGTCCCAGCAGAGCGTGACCAGGGTCCGCCGATTCCAAAGGGAGCTGGAGGCCGCAGAGGACCGCGCTGACACCGCCGAGAGCAACTTGACTCTGATCCGCGCGAAACACCGTAGCTTCGTCACCACATCCACCGTGCCCGGTTCCCAGGTGTACCTCGTCCAGGAGACGAGGTCTGACCTGTAAAAACGCCACCGTCATCGACACCCCACCCTTTGCCACTTCGAACGCCACCTCGTCGTCTTTAGAAACGTACGTAGCCAAGTTTTCGCGCGCTGCTTCGACTCGTAAGGCGTGTAGTAAGATTCCGAGTAAGAGGCGAATAATATGCGGGGCGTTTTCGAATTTCAGGCGTAACGAGAAACCGATGAAAAAAGGAAGAGCCCCGATACATCATCGTAAGTCAGAAGGGCCGGAAAGAGTTTCCAACGGGCCGCACCGCGAACACCGCGTAGCTAGAGGATTAAGGAAACTGTGTATCACATCATTATTCACCCGTGACAGCGCCCAACGACCCGTCGTAAATTCGAATGCTCGGCCAACGAGACGCGGTACCCGTCACTACGACTTCAATGAAACCTGCAGAAGCAAAGGCAAATGAAACGCGAAGACAACAATAAAATATCATCGAAAAGAAATCATCGTTGCTATTCGAACAATTAAACGAAAAAGAAAAAGGGAAAATTAAATAATAACGCATATGTAATATGTACGCACCGAAAACAATCAAAATTTTATTCTATTTTCCTTCTATTGTATGTGCATATCATGACGCGTAAGGAGAGTGACAGAAGGATTTGAGAGATCAAACAAAAACAAAACAATATAAACGAGAGACTCGAGATGTAGAACTGCTCCTTACGCTTTCTGATCGCGCGTGTCGCACTTGTATTTAAATGGATTAACTTTAATTCTACTTCTATTATTATATACATAGATAGGTACTATTGCCCATACACACAACTCTCACTGTACGACATACACAATAACCTGTGTCAACTTTAATTTAATAAATAAACTGAAACACGTACGTACGAATTCGGTGGAATGCGTTACCCAGTCGGATACGGCTAAATTCGATGCTATTCAAATATTAACCCTTTGCGCTCGAAGCTATTTTATCTGTAAGTGTAAAATAATATTTCTGACTTATAGCATTCTCATTTTATATGGCAAAACGTATTTTACGCGTACGAAGTTGAGTCTTGTAACTCGCGCAACAGTTACGCTTTCAACCATTTTTTAAATCCAAACTTTGTTAATATAAAAATTACCTTAGAACGTGACATAACAAGTTTTAGTAGTGCCTCAGAGTAACCACGCGAGTGCAAAGGGTTAAAGCAGTTGATGAACGAAATTATGTATCATACGGTGCTATATTATCGAGCTCTCATAGCAAATAGAGAGACACGAAATTCTGTAGTGAATCCAATTTGAAATTGTTCAAAATTGCATCCGTAGTTTAACGTTTCAGAACTATTTGTAGGGATATTTCGATTTTTCAAAATATATTCACACGAATCTCTTTAAACTTCTCACCCATCCTATCTCAAAATAGATACTTCCATCTCTAATTTAAGTTCGGTAACATTAAAAAGTCTCCGCAAGAATATAAGCCACAATCGACTTGAAATTTTCTTTTAAAGTCTAATCATTTTTATTTGAGGCAGCGCTCGGAGTTTTTATCAATATCAAAAATCACGATTTTTATCAATGTTCGTGTATTTTATATTTTCTAAAACTTTTATATTAAGGAAATGTAGTACATCAACGAAAAAAGTCATATGTTTTAATCGCTTTTTAATTAAACGTAATTTTAGTATTTCTCCAAAAGGCGGCGCTACTTATCAATAGGGACAAATGGTGTCAACTGTTAGCGAAAGCTCCAATCTGTAGAGGAACAATGAAATCTGTCGACAAAACAGAGGATTTTCAGCTTGTTGAAATACAGACGAGGTATAGAAGTAGACTTGACACCCGATGTATTAACACAGACGAAGTATAGAATTTTTTGTCACCAAAAAATTGAGCCTCTTGTATTTTTAGAGTTCTCTGATTGGCTTCTAATTGAACAAAGGGCGTGAGAAAATCTCTGTCACAGATTTAGGATTCGTACAGATATATATATTGCATACAATGCTTTGTCTTGTCTCAGGGTCTGAATTACCGACTCTATAGAAAATACTGTGGTAGGATAGCGGACTTTACCTAAATATACCTAAATAAACTCCTAATAATACTCAGCACTCGCAGTAGAAATGAAATATACAGGATATTCGCTTCTTGCTAACGTGCCTATTTTTCGTGAACCATCGATAATGCCGATCGCAACACGATATAATAAGGGGGCTCTAGAGTAAAGCTGTCGGAATATTCGAGTATTCAAGAGGTACAGTAATGTCTCCTCTAATTGACGCTCAGATTGATCCACAAAAACGGACAATTTAGGGAGAAGAGAGACGATTATTGGATCCTTGCGGTTCATTTTTATAGTCACGAATTGTCAACAACTATAAAAACGAGCTGCAAGGCTCGAATAATCGCATCTCCTCTTCCCAAATTGTCCATTTTTGTGGACAATCTGAGCGTCAATTAGGAAGAAATTACTGTATTTGCTTTCACAACGGATAGATGATGAAAATCACGGGCAAATGAAAATTATAAATCGATAACAGTTCATTATTTAGACAACAATTTGAAGATAAAGCATTCTGCTTTAAAAATTTATATTTTCTTTCGGTCTCATAATAGTAAAAATATATATATATATGAGTAACAAATTAGTGATAAGAGTATTGTTACTTAACGTAACCGATAAATTTGATATATTCTTTGATAGGTCGTACACTACATTATTTCAGAATTTTCGTTTTTTTTTTAACTTCTCCAGTCTGTCATAATAGTCACTAGGCGTCTAAAAAAGCTGTTTTGGATATTTTTGGAAATGGATATTAAGTGAGCAATTATGGGCAATTAAAGAGCAATTTTTTGGGCTATTTTTCGTTAATATTGGTTACTATCGTGACGTTCGTGCACTGCATTGAACCTTCCTCTGTCGAATGATACCATTAAACGACGATGAAGATGCTGATTTAAGGTAGTTAAATGTCATCCCGTAAACCCATCGTTTTCGTTTCATTTTGTCGGTAACTGTGCACTCTACCTTTATCTCTTCGCTAGGAAGTCTAGCCCTTTACTTCGAATACCTCATCTATGGTAATACAAACGAAGTATACGGAATACTCTATTCTTAATAAAAACATGATCTGTATTTACTGTTTTCTCGACAAATTCCTATATGCTTGCATTGTCTGCAGCTTCCGCTAATAGTTGGCATCACGTGTCGTTACTGATAAGTGACACCGCCTGTCGGAGCAGTACCGAAATTATGCTCAGTTTGAAAATGATTGAAGTGAGCATTATTTTCATTGTTCGCATACTACATTCCCTTAAATTAAAAGGTACAATACATAAATATTGTTAAAGATTCTGACAAACTGCACCAATTGTTTTTAATACTTCTAATCACACTCTTCAAACTTATTATAATCATATCACTTTATAAACTTTCGTTCTATAATGCTGTAAATTGCGTAAAAATGATAAACTTTTCGTATTTTGTAAAATTCGTAGCATTAGAAATACGAAAACTTCTTTCCGTATAAAATTGTCTCGTTCGTAATTTCCTTCAGTTGCGCTAGAAAAATAGGAATTTTCATAAAGATTCGCGGTCCAGTAACAATAGTTGCCCTCGACGTTAACGCTAGCGTTCGCGATACTTTCTGTTCTGTTGTACCACCAGCGTGTCATATTAATGAAACAATAATTCACCGTATTTCGCTCTTTGCATAGTAAAGCCGTCTATTTGACTGTACGTGACAGCCGGCTCCTATCGATGAATAGAAACAAATTCACAATCAAAATGTAGATTAGTTTGCACATATTTTACGGGTCCACGGCGTTGTCGATCGTTCATGATTTATGCTTCAAAATGATCAACACTCCGGTCGACCATTAATATTCATACTTCTAATACGGCAAATGATTCATTCCGTTTCGCATACTTTTGCCGAACCTGCATTCTTCCTTTATCGTAACCACCAATATCATTTTCACAAGAGAATCGTTTTGCTTCTATCTCTGTACGACAATTAAAACAATTTAAGTTAGTCGATGCATAGAACGGAACGATCATCGTCAAACTGTTCCATAAATCCAACAATGCGCGATCTATAGTTTCCTCATTTCGGTAATTGGCTTTCTAATGCAACTGCGACGCGAACGAAAAGTTATAGGCCGGCTGACAAACTCGTTAATTAATTATACCGAACAAGCGATAATTGCGGGAACAGAATTGAAAATGTTCCAGTCGCATTTTATTGGCCGGTATAGTTGCAGTTCCGCGGAAACGTTTATCTACCCCTTCGAAAATCGTTTTCGTGGGAACAATTTAATCGTCTTGTAAAACAGGTTTTAACCGGTGGCGATTTAATGGGAAAAATTGATTTCAACGAAGAGAGGAGGAGCGTCGGCTGTTGAATACGCGCTGACTGAACGACGCTGTCGATACGCGCTGACTACTGTTTTACAATTTTTTTCATGCAAACTCGCTGGCTCGGACGGTCGCCCGCTCGCTCGCTCGCTCGCGCGCGTGCAACGCGTTCTAGAATTACGCTCGGTACACCCGAGCTGGATGGTGTTTGAGTTACGCTGTTTGATCCCGAGCCGAATGTTTAACCGTGAGTAATGTCAGCATTCTTGACGGTATTCCGATATCCGTAGTAGGATCTCGAACGGGTGTCCGATAGCAGGAGCAGCTCATCTTTTGCATGATTCAGTCGACTGTCAGGTGCGAGGTGCGTTACACCGGTCTCCGTTCCTTGTCGCGCTTCCGGTTCCCTGTAATTCTTTCTCGCGCAAACCGTTGTCAATGTCAGTCCTCCTCGAACCCAGGGAAATATGAATCCGTTAAAGTGGAATTTTGTTTCCGCGACGATGGTGAGTAAAAATCATTGTATCTGTTACCTTCTTCTGAAAATCTCGCAAGAATTACCGTCACTTTTCCACCGCAATGGTTGCTCGGGTCAACGCACAATTTTCGGCAGAGTAGTATAGTTTGACAACGTTCGATCGCATCACCGCGGTCCAGAAATTCGGAATCCGTTACTCTGATATTATTATTGATGTCAATGTGTGGGTAGGATGGTTCGAAAGGACTTGTGCACTCGTTGTACGGTGTAGAATACTTCTTTATTCTCTTGCGAACTTTGTCTTCGGACGAGTCGCGGCGCAGTGATCGAGTATTCGTTTTTACACTCGCCGTTTGCCCTGGTAAAATTCCTGAACAACCCTGATTGGCTAACCCCACGAGTTGGGCCTTCCCAATCAGCGTTGTTCATTTGTCCTTTTTACCGCCTGTTCCTTGCGCCCTTCGCGTATTTTCGGAACGGCGTGGCGATCGGAGGGGATAATGAGTTTGACGTGACAACGTGTGGAACTTTTCCTTCGGGCACCCGCGTCGGACCACATGTCCTTTGGGTCGCTGGGTCCGCTTCAAATACCCTTCGGAAACTCTCTGAATTTATGACGGTCTCCGTTTGCTATTGAGGTGTTTCTAACAAACTCTACTGCAGGGGTGTCAAACTCGCGGCCCGAGATGAACATTTTTGATGTCAAGTATCAGGACGTAAACAATAATTTAACTTTATATATGTTTATTACAATGTACTAGTCAAAATAAAAATATTTGTTTCTATGAACATTGATTTTTTTTGCGGCCCACCTAAAGTTAAGCATTGTTTATTTGGCTCAAGTTAGCTTTTGAGTTTGACACCCCTGCTCTACTGCAAACATGCGTTGTTAAGGTTTGGAACTTATCATCTCAAAAATAGCTTCTTCGAAGGAGAGTCGTAAATTACGCTGGTCGTTTGCACGAGGACTAAGGTTTCC